GGATGAGGCAAGAGCTGCTGCAGCCAACAGAGAAAATTGGAGGCATTCTGTGGAGGCCTTATGTGCCACGAGGCACAAAGAAGCTAAGTGAAGTGAAGTTATTCAAGCAGAGATGATGTCATCTCAGTTTGTACCCTTTGTAACCAATTTCCAAGAAATACTTCTTCTGTAAGAAAGCTTTTTTAAAACAAACTTTCCATTACAAGATTAGGTTAAACTGAGATCGACATATACGTCTACATTTGATTTCATTGGTGAAGTCATTAGATATCACACCAATGATCCCCCACTCTCTCAGAATTTTCAATGACCTTCCATCCCAGGGGGGGTGGGGGAAACTCCAATATAAAAAGGACAGGGGTGCTCGTCAAAAATTTTGAAAAGGAGCCCTACCAAGATCCTGTTTTGTGGGCAGGGCTTGAAATTTTTTAACCCCACGAGGTACCATTTCTAAATCAACACATTAACTTACCGGTACCCAAGATCCTGTTTGGTGGGTGTGGCTTTAAATTTTTTAACCCCATGAGGTACCATTTCTATTGAAGCTGAACACCCTGAGGTACCAATTCTGCCTTTGTAACCTCTAAAAGGTATGACAAGTACCCCTGTCTCCATTTTATATGAGAGTCCCCCTCAGAGGCCTTCCATGGGGCAGGTATGGAAACCCGTACATTCTCCTTTGGGAAGAAGTTTTGGAAAAAGATTTTTATTGGTGACTGATATTTTGATAACTCAGTTGTACTCATCTTGAGTTCAGAGTCAAGCAAAAAGCTGTTTCACAGTCAATGGGTTTTATGTTCTTAAGTCTGATTATCGAAACTGATCATTTAGTTTGTCATGATGTTATTGGTATTTTAATCTATGTATTGGTGCAGTGTAGTTATTATAAATTAAATAAATTTCTGTTGATTTAAGTGAAGTCAAAGCTGGCTCATCAATTTGTGGTTTTGTTGGTGTAACACCTTTCCTGAATCAGACACTGAAAGTAATTTGTTCTGTAAGTAGGGAGGTGCTTTCAATAAGATCTGAACAACAGTGTAAGTAGCCAACTAGCTGAAACGGCACCTGTTGGAGACCAACAAGATGCACTTACGACAACTGCCCTCCAGGGGGGACAATTTTTTTTTAATTGTCAACATTATAGCTGTAACGTCTTAAAATGGAAGTTATACCAATCAGAGTTATGGCAGGTGCCAGGTCGTACTGAAAAAAGAAAAAACGTAGAGAAATAGTCCATTAACCCCTATGGAATGAGTAAGAGTAAGAGTGGAAAAACCCATCCAGTTGTATTTGCAATGTTTATGTATGACATTGTACACCAGAATAAACTTCAGGTCACATTGGTCAGAGGCAAACTCCTTGACATCAAGACAATGGTGTACACAGATATTGTATGATCAGTTTCCCTACAAGTGTTCCTTTATGTCTTGAATAACACTGTACATAGGTGATTGTTCTACTTTTCAGACCTTACCTGGGTGATTCCCGTCAGCTCTCTGCAGAATTCACTCAACTTTGTGTGCTCGGTAGGCTGCACAAACATGTGAAATTCTGATTCCAGCTCTCCAGTGGATGTATTGAGAAGCACAGCAGGAAATTCAACTAAATGAGTTCAAAGAAGAATTTAGTTTAAGTATGTACATATATATCAAAATAAGATGCCATTATTTGCTCCTACAAATTTAATTATAAATTCTTATACAGTGTGCATTTATGTTCTGGAATTCCCTTTTATCAGTCATCCATTTTTGAATGAGTCTACCTTTAAAGTTCAAATGCCTGAAGGGTTTCTCAGGTGGGTGGGGGTGGGGGGAATGTTGAAGCTTGGAATTGATCAGCACATAAGAAGCACAATGCATTCCCTTTGATTGATATTATATCAGGACATAATTTTTGTCCTTTGACAGTATCTGTTCCTTGAAGCTCACAGCTTTCCTCTTCTTGGAAGTGGAAACTGTTTGCATCACAGAACAGGTAATTTCTCCAAATATCTCCATACATGTATATTTTCACGGGAAATTGGTGTTAACCAGTGTTCCTGCCATCTAACTATGAAAATTCTGTGTGTAGAGAGTTCAGAGAGTTCCAGGCTTCCTCTGCAATATGCATGATTGATTCAACAAATATTTACTTACTTATTTCTGGGCCATAATTCATCTTCTTATCTTTCCAACATGTTGACTCAAAGTCAAGAACAATCAAGTATGTAAAAGACTGGCCTGTAAAAAGACACAAAAGGAAACAAAATTATTCCTAAATGTCATGATATAAAATGCCAACAAATTACTAAAAGCTTTAAAATAATCAGATCTACATATTGAAGATGGACAAATATTTTGACCCAGTCCTTTAATAAGCTGTAATTCAAATCAGTTACGTCTTAAGTACATTTAACAAAACTTATAGGGTGCGTTCCTTTGGGGTGATCTGGATCAGTATCAGAAATCCGAGATCTGTCTGGATCATGGTGCATCAAAGGAACTGATGAATCCACTCTTGTCTTGGATGATTCCATGAATGATTGGCTATGATTCCATGACCAGAGTGGATTCATCGGTTCCTTTGATGCACCATATCTATGATCCAGACAGATCTTGGATCACTGATCCTGATCCAGATCACCCCAAAGGAACGTACCCTTCGGCTTAAAAAGTCACATTACATCGTTTGATTAACAAGCTTCACCAAAAATCAATTATTGTCGTTCATCGATTTGATTTCCTCGCCAAGACATTAGTCTAAGCTGAAACGAACGGGTTGATCGACCAGCACATACATCATATCAATTACAAATTAAAAAGTGCATATATGCATATATCTGTACTCACGTTGTCTGATCTCTCTTTGAGCTTTTTTCCGACTGGTGGAAGATGACAGTGTCCTCTTGACCAAACCAAGACTTCTATCAAAGAAAAAGTAGTTGTTGCATAAAACCACTGAAAAACATTTCTTTGTTGTTGTTCAACTAATGCGATTCCTTGACATGATCATGATGTAGAGGTCAGCGAATAAAACGTTTTACCTTGCTAATTCCTTCGCAGTTACTATATTTGACGGTAGCTGTTGCAGTGGTCTGTCTTTCCCAGACATTTGTCAGCGAGAAAGAAGAATGTAAACATAGAATCAAAGGCAATTTTGGGTAAACCGATCATTGATTCAAAATTCGCGCACGATCGACGAAGAGACGCTGTAAATATCGGTCACAGTCCCTCTCGATCACATTCGCTCTCAGTCACAGTCCTTCTCGGTCTACGTCTTGCAGACAGACTGTGCTGTCAGATGTGCTGTCAGGTGTAAAATGTACCTAGGAATTACTTAAAATTTGCAAATCGAATAAGGAATATTTATTTGAGGGATAAAACAAAGTGCACAGGCAGAGCTACTGGAAAAAGAGGTAGTGTAACGATGAACTGAGGGGAATTTTAATACAGAAAAGAACTCTGCAATGCTGCTGTGCCGATGAAAATGAAGGAAGCCCGTTTTTAGCAGTCCTACGCAAAGTGAAAGCAGACTTATGTGAAATTTATGGTTTTTACCTTGCCAAGGAAAATATCTGAACTGCAATGAGCTGTGGTTAGCATTTAAAATTAATTTAAAACTCCATTAATATTTAGAGGTAAACTGATTTAGTTTTGTTGAAGAAACAATATTGAAAGGCGCGCGCATATCAGAGAGCCTCTGCATAATCTTTGTGTTTGTACGTTTCATACGTTTGCGACCTTAAGCGTTATATCATACAACTGTATACACCTTCATCCTTTTGAAGGTGCAAACAGAGAATCGAATTAATTTTCCACCCTCCCGTTGAGGTGTGGTTCGCCAAAAAAATTCTCGAGCCTTTGTAATTCACTTAGACTTGTCTAGATTTTAACTGCGCAGAATTTAACTCGACTTCGTTATAAATTAGAGTCTTAAAAAGTGAAAACACTGTACGATAGGCTTAAAAAACTTTTTTTTTATCAACAAAATACACTAAAAGAATTTGATTATTATGACTTTTAACTACCTGCTATGCAGGTGACGCCAATCCCCAAATTTACTTTAATCAGCCTATGAACGTGTGTTACCTGACATTCTAACACACACATACCAGTTTGGTCAGTTTTGATAGTTTACCAGGACGCTAAATCGGAACAAAAATAGGGCACAATCGGGCTCGCGGCGTGTTTTGATTTATACTTACAGGGCAACTCGTCAATTCAGCTGTCAAAAGGAGAAGAGGCTGTGTGTACTTGCCAAGTATTCAAGGAACTAATTTACCTCACCAGTTAATACTGAACTCAATTAACTCTTGGCATTTCAATGGCTGTCGGCTTCGCCATCGCCACATCCGCGTTTCTTGCAACCTTCGGCAAATATTTCTCCAAGAGGTGGTTCTTTTGGTTCATCAGTGCAGTCATTGCGACAATTGCTGGAATGCTCATGAATGCTGGAAACAAGAAACAGGCAGAGAGAACAGAAGCCGGAGGCGCTCCCAAGAAAGATGAAGCCCCAGCACCGAGCGGGCCAGGTAAAGCATGATAATGCGAACTGACAACTTATTCAACTCGCGATGAGGAACGTTTCACGATGGCAATGCGAAGACTGGCCATTAAAAGGCGGGATGATTCAAGTTGCGGCAAGTAGACCGTACACTCAATAGAAGAACAACTTTTCAAACATCTCAATTTGCACATATTTAAGTCACTTAAACAGGATTTGTTGATGTCTGCACAAAAATATTGAAGCATGATTTATTAAGTTAAAACAAAGTTTCGCATGAAACACAACGTTCATTTAGAATAGTTCACCTTTTTCTTATAAAACAGCTGTAAAACGTATTCTGTTGCATAGAGAAATACATAGAAATAATGTTAAACTTCAAACCCTAAAATTAAAACTTTTCTCTGATGTATTGTACTTGTTTGTTGGTTTACATGACAGTATTAGTATTGAAACAAAACAAAATGGCTCGGGTTCTTTATACTTCACGTTAGCTTACTGTAACTGCTCATATTTATTCAGTTTATAGTTCATCGTTAGCGACTGAAATGCTAGGGCTTGTTGGACCAGATTTTGACGGACACTGAAGCTTCTGTCAAATCATTTGCACAACTAAAATAAATCACAACCGGTTCGTTTCACCGCGCCCATCTTAGCGAAGAGACTGGAAGACTAAGCCAATTCTCGGTCCCAGAGCTGTCTGTCTCTCTCAGCCGGCGGGGCCTTGGCATGAGGAAAAGGCGGCTTTGAAGACTCATAATTTCATTGGCCGGATTCTTGGCCCAAGATTTTCACTAATTTCGAACTAGTTTCAAACCACCTACAAACCCTCAGGAAGCTTAAAACTACATGGCTTCCGGTCAGAATTTTACTTCTCTCACAGATCAACCAGTGGATATTTTCGTAAAGGAAATCACCGTTGAGTTTGTGAATTTGTGAAAATCCTTGTCCAAGAATCTAGCCAATGAAATAATGAGTCTCTAGAACTACTTTTCCTCGTGCCAGGACCCCGCCAGCTCTGAGAGGCAAGGTGGGTCAGCACTCGCTGTGAACTATAAAACCCTAAGAACTCTTACTGCGGTCAAACGCAATATTCCGATGCTAATTCGCCGCTGAAATTCCGGCTTTCGTCGCGAGTGCCGAGAGTTTGTAAGTTTGAAACGAATTTGCACAAGACTTAAGAAAACTGAACATAACAACTGAAAATAAAAGTGTCAAAAATTAGGAATTGATTAACTTGAAGGACATCAATTATTAAATTCCGAATATATATATATACAGCGTACAGAGCTTATCTTCATTGCAAGTATTACCTTCTCCTTGGATTGCTGGAAAGTTTTACAAAAAATGGAGACCTTTACAAGCGACTGTATTGGTGGGAAATGCGCACGCGCAGTGTGCTAAACCGATATGGACTCGGCACTACAGTGGACGACAGTCCTCTGGAAAATTTTATTTTAATTTTGAGCGTCTCCTCCAAACGATGTTGGTTTTTCTATCTCTAAGACTTCGCAGACCACAGCACCCTGCACAACATTGAATAAGTCAGTTCTGAGTTTCCTTGTGCCTCTGTTTTAAAACCTGTCCTCGTGCAAAAATGAGTTTAATTTGCATGAAAATTAACCTGCAGTTGTAGTTTGAACACATTATCTTATGAATGGTTTCGCACGAAGACTCGTTTTGACAAGATAAAAAGGCAACTCGGAAATGGTCTATTGGAGGGCTGAGGTTGTTAGGGAGGAGGAGGTTGATTTTTTTCGCTAAGTGTCATTTTTCAACTGTCTTAACTACCATTGCTGGTTAATAAACAAGCCAGTTCTCTTTAGACAACGATCCATGCCTCGTAACGTTAAGAAAACTGTTTAAACCCCGTGATATAGTTGCACTCCCAGATTCTCCTTTCTGTTTGTCATCCATCGTACAAGTTTTAGTTCTGAGAATTAGAGGGTTCACCAGGAAGAAATTTCCAAGTTGATGTGTTTTTTTTTTTGATTCTCTATATTTGTCCTCTTGTTAATGCGAAACTCGAAATTCAAGGCTCATTCTAAACAAGTTTTTTTCAGCTTTATTTCAGCCGAACCTCGTTATATTGGACACCAAAAGGAATACAGAAAAAATGTTCGTTTTCAGTCAGCAGTTTAATCGCACAGTTAAGAGAAAGGTCCATGGTTCCCACAGACATCACTTTTCAAAATTCCGACTTTTCCCTAATAAAAATATCATTTCCCTGAAAAGAATAGATACAAAATGTCAAATCTAATAGCCGCTTCTAGCCTTCCTTTCTACTCGTTCGTTGACGGGTAAGTTCTCGACAAATTTACCTTCTTCATTAAGGAAATTTTCACAGTGATCCCAAATGTTTCTTCCAGCCTTCAATGGTATTAAATCAGCCCTGTTAAATTATTTCAATTTTCCCTGACTTTTCTACAAATGTCAATTTTCCCTGACTCAAAATAAAATTCCCTGACTCAAAATAAAATTCCCTGACTTTTCTCTGACCTTAAAGAATTTTTTTTCCCTGATTACTTCCTGTGGCAACCCGGGAAAACGTAAGCGGTAGGGATCAAAACCATTCTCGGCCATAAAGCGGGCTTCGCATACACACAACATGAAGAGAGAAAAAACGTCTCCATCATTAGTTCACTCACTTTATTGCATGACTACTTAAACTACACACAGAAAACAAATTTCTTCAAGTCTAACTATTATCAATATCACTAACGCTGGTTTCCATATGGCAAATAAAGATCGCCTGAACAGGAGGAAATTCTAAAGCTGGACATGTGTTGATTATTACTGGGCGCATTGGGGGAGGTGCAACGAGGTGACAAGCAGGAGTGAACCTGGGAGATTTGGTGCGAATATTTCGACTAAGTTTAAGACCCTAAGAGACATTTGGTGCGCACATGTCGACAAGGTTTATGACCCTAGAAAGATTTGTTAAATGTTCAACATTTACTAAAGTAACTCCAGTAGTCATATGAAAACTAGCGTTGATTTACGGTATACATTCAACGAACATGTCTTCCTCGACTTCTTCCAATCTTTCTTCCCCAGAGAGAAATCAAAACTAGAAGACTGCATTAGTGTCATAGACATTCTTAGAATAATTTCCTCGAAAGAGGAACAATTCTGATCAAGGTCGTTTAAATCATAAATACTTTACAACAGCGATTTATACAGATAATTCACACTTTCAAATATTTACAGTAAAACGTCTTAGCATCTATTTATTTTACACAAATTTGAAAAGAGTTACTGAATCTGATATCAGCCCCGTCGAATGACCAAGTTCCATTTTAAGGTTTTCAACAAACCTTGACGAAACCACCCGAAAACGTTTGGTGTCCAGTTCACAAAAAGCCTGGGAACAAGTTATGACGTTCGCTTGTGCGTCGATCATACGTCACGTTGCTTATGGCAACGGCGCACCTCCTGACAAAAACGTCGTGCTCATTCAATAAGAAACGATTATGGTTCACCCGACTAAATACTCTCTTTTGCTCGTAAAAGTTCCAACATACAGTTATACGAGGAAATTACAACATATTAAAAAGCGTCTTAAATGTGCTAAGATCTGTGTTCAAGTTATTGCTTGATTTGAAAAGGTTAGATACAACACGGCAGTGTAAAACAGCAACACTCCCAGTTAACGAACTTTTAGTCACCTCTTTGCCGGTCAGCATATCACATTTTGCTTATCACAAAACTAATCCTTAATTACATTAACATAAGTCGGTAGTCTAGTAACTTTAATTTGTGCTTGAACAACTTGACCTACACTGGGATAGTCCTGTGTTCTAACTCCTACCCATAGCCACATTTGTTCGATATACAATCAGTGGAGAAATCTTCCCAGATCTTTCCTTCATTTTCTTTTAAAAATAGAGCACCCTTAAAAAAGGGTTGTTAAAATTCCTGCTTGTTCGGCTTGAACATAAAACTAACACTACAAATTTGAGTAAATTAAAGGGTATTTCAGTAGAGCGCTCACATTTTTGCAGACACCGACGGCGTAAGGTGGGATGAAGCAATCACATTCACGATAACAACGTCTGTATATTAACACCAAACATATCGCGAAGCTACCAATACTCATTTGACTATTGTATTTGGAGATTTGTCCAATTGGAAAGCACGTTTATTTGGTGTCAATAGTTTTTCTGTGCAAGACCACTATAAGAAGAAATCACAAAGAAGTTCACTAAGCTAAGGATACAAAATTGTCATTCGTCTACACTAAGTCAAGGCAGTAACGTTACTAAGCCAGGTAACTGTCTGCTAAGGCCTCCATTGATGAGCGACTCAAGGGGAACGAGTTGAGGTCCAAGTAATGAAGGAATCTGCCGACAGAAAGCCACATAAAATGATTAACTCTAAGATTATCACCTATCAAGCAACGTGTTTGTGACGGGAACATACTCCCGGAAATGGGTCCCTAGTATTATGAAATAACGATTGAAAACAGCTTTTCAATAAAATTGCAGTGGTTTGTAATAAAGGCTTTCGTTTTTACGTTTGTGCATCAGAATGAGATTCCATCCAGTTTAATCCTCACTATCGTTATTTATCCTCACTTTTTAACAGATTCCTACCATTTTTCAAGGGCCGTTCTCCAACATAAATAAACCAATATTGACGGCTTTCCTATAACTTTAGTACCTTTGTGAGTAACTGGAGACATGGTTTAACATTAACAACAATAATGTTCTTTTGATCTCAACCACTTTTGGTGACCAGCTACGGTATATAGTTTTAATTGATATATTATATTAAGTCAAGTAAATTCAGGGCAAAATGAACGTTGTCTTGTCTTTTACCGCTTACTGTTTGATACTAAGCCGTGAACTGGAACTAGCTTGCAATGGAGGCTCATGCGGGGGGAATATCATTAATAAGAGAAGAATGTTATTTGCGTTTGAAAACACTCCCCACATTAGCCTCAGTTGCAAGCTAGGTCCAGTCCACTACCGGGAATACGAATATGGCCTTTTTGATTGGCACACTAAGCCATATTCGTATTCTCGGTATTGGACTGGAACTAGCTTGCAATTGAGGCTCACGCGGGGGAATGTCATTAAAAAGAGATTTATGTCATTTGCATTTGAAAACACTCCCCGCATTAGCCTCAGTTGCAAGCTAGTTCCAGTCCAATACCGAGAGTACTGATAACCATTAAGAGAGTATGAAAGGTAAGAGCATTAGTCCCCCATACAGGCCTGATTACCAAGGCAATCTCAAGTTATTTGTAGAATTCTCCCAGTTTGAAAATTTCAGGAGAGTTTGGAAATAACCAATCCTGTGACACGGATTACGCTCACGTGGACAGGCCAAGCAGCTTTACATGCATTTTCATCTTCCGCGAAAACATCCACGCAACGCGCGTGGTAATAACATCCGCGAAAGAACTGGGTATCTTGTCTAAAAATAACTCGAGAGGGATCCTGTTTAGAGGACTAACTCTGTTATTCTGCATCCATTCTTGTAATTATTTACCTTCTTTTGATGTTGGCAGCTTCACGAAGCCTTTCCGAGTGACACAGTAGGCGGAAGGTAGGTATGTAGTCACTCGCGACACAGCGGTGATCACAGTGGTATAGAGCAGGGATACACGAACACAGAGAACTGTGAAGCTTTCTGCGGCTTGCTATAGAACTAAATGGTAAAACAAGACCAATGAAAATAGATAACAGTGAATCCTTACTTCAATGAAATCTAACGATTACATGGTTAAGGGCCGAGGAGGACTGAAAACATTCTGTTTGTTGGCTGCCCAGCTCTCCGTCAACCATGGAAAGTACCATTGTCTTTTCGCAGAGCCCTTTATCGCCCATTAATTATCAGTGGTTTATACTTCATGCACCATTACATGGTGGGTATTACCACGTTACTTGAAAATTTCCTTTGCATTGCGACAACAACATTTCATGGTTTTTAGTGCTTTTGGCGTTCTGGGAAGATGACGATCTAGGCATTAACAAACAGGCTGCTGATAAAACTTCAATCACAGGTATCTTTTTCTGCTTTGTGTGTGTGTGTGTTTTTTTGGGGGGGTGGGGGTGGAGCTAGGGGCTGGGTGGTTGTGGTTGTTGCCTATCATAAATCATACTGCATCTTCTTGAAATTTTTCTGGAGAACCTGCATAACTGAGCGGCTGGGTTCGAAACGCTTAATGTATGCATGTTTCCCCAGAGAGATACTCTTAATTCTCCTTACCACGTGAAGGCTTTGTTGATAACAATAAAGGAACCAATTGTCTTGATTCAGCGCTAAATTCTCAAAACTTTCATTTCGAGCCAAGGATGAAATTCCCTTACCTTTTCTGTGTCTGAGTGAGTGCATCAAAACGCACTACAGCATTGGAATCGCGGTGAGGAAGATCCTGTGATAAGAACTTGAAATCATACTGTTCACTTTCCAGACCGGTGGAGGTTTTTTCATCCTGAGTTGAAGTTTCAATTTGTTCTAAATCTTCCACCAAAGAATTTACTTTCACACGACAGCTCTCTAAATTTGTCAACTCTAAAGCTCCTCGTAGGGACGCACGTGTATCACGAGCCAGCCAATCACTGCAGTCCTGTACAGTCAAGTGCTCGTCCGTGAGCCCAGGCTTCAGAGCTGCATCCCACCAGCCAAATTCAGCCGAGGCAGACTGAGTGTTAGAGATAGAAAGACTGGGACAGAAGGCGTCTGAGAATGACATGTTTTCTGCAAACTGCGCAAATATGTCCAGAGCTTTGGTGCAGCATCTTTCTTCTATAGAAGAAAAAGAAAAAATAAATTATATCACTGTAAAAGCTATTATTTAGCCCCTCCCCTTTGGGTAGAGAGCGTATTTCCCCTCAGGACTATTGAGAGGTAAGAGAGACAGTATTAGACCGTATTATAACAGAAAGTGAGCTCATTCAAATTATAAAACAGTTGGCGCTTACATAATATAATAATAATAATAATTTACCAATTTATATAGCGCATATTTACATATTCTGATCAATAGCGCTTTAGTCACCATAAAAATAAAATAAAATTATAAATTATAAAAATACTTCTTAAAAAGATAAGTCTTAAGTCGAGATTTAAAACTGTCAAGTGATGTTGCTTGACAAAGCTCTTCAGGTAGGCCATTCCAGAGTTTCGGAGCTGCTGCTGAAAATGATCTAGCCCCCAATGTTGGAAGCATCTTACCCTTGGAATGGTCCAGTAAGAGTTTACCAGTAGACCTAAGATTATATGATGAATTCGATATATACTACTTATGCCACGCTTTCGAGTGGTATACCGCGGAATATCCCACGAATCACTTGTATTTTCTCGGTACACGCACGAACCTTTAGCCATAGAAAATACAGTGGACAACACAAGCAATGCGACATACGCGCGGCGCATGATGGGAAGCTTGGATGTAATACCCTCGAATATACAACGGCTTTCCTGAGTTCTGATTGGCTGTATTTTCTATGGCATGGTATGAAACAATAGATGCCAAGAGAGAGCCTTCTTTCAAGGTCAAATAGCAGATCACAGCACAAGATTTAGTTAATCTTGCACCCGCCTGGGAGCTAGCCAAATTATTATATTTAGCACCCCCAGGATCCTGAATCTGCAATGGTAGAAATCAATACACTTTTCATACCGTTAGTTGGCTGCTTGCAAACACGTTTTTTTCCTTTCTCAGCTCTGTGTTCAGTTCCCTCTCCATCACCTCGACCTCTTCCACTTTTACCAATCTCTTCTTTCGGCTGTGACTCACTGAAGCCCGTGTCTGTGGAGTCCTGGGAACTAGGCTTGGTGTCTTCCGATTCTTTTTTTGTCATCTGATTGGTTTCCATGACGCTGTCGTACTCAACATTGTTACCAGACTCCTCCACGCCGTCATCAAAGAGATTTTTATCAGAGAATATACTATCGCTCTTAAATGCTACATGCTCTGTAACAGGCAGTGCTCCATCACTTCCCTCGACTTGAGGTGGATCATGTTTGGTTTGCGCTGATGAGGTTGAAGAGCCAGCAAATAGTGGGATAAGGTCGCTTAAGTTTGCCTGGACCAAATTTACATCCAACCCTTGGGTAAAGTGTGTCAAGTGAAGCTTGGAAGACTGGACACAGTCCTATGTGAAGTAAAACAAAAAAAGCCACAAGTTACGTGAACTGCAACTAAACAGTCATATGTTTTTGGATTAATCTGATCTAACTCATTAGATAAATCAACTTTTTTTGCATGGTATAACCTTCCCTCAGAGAACCTTTGCCCATAACCGCTGGCAAATTAGCTTAAGCCATGTTCAAAACAAGGCTCACAAAACAGCCCAGATGAATTTAATCGCATGCAAAAGTTCTGCTGTTTTAAGTGGCCTCTAACGTTATGACTTCAAGACAAACTTGACTAGTTCTGACTTTTACTTTTGTTGATGAAACCCTAGTATGTGATCGTTCAGTTGAAAGCTACTGACCAAATTTTCATGTAGTAGTTTAAGGTGCTATAAAAGGTATTTCTGCTTGTAACTTTTATGTCCGTGGATGAAACCTCCGGTGTGACCATTCAGATGAAAGCTATCAAAAGAACTAAAGGTGGTGATAACTGTGTTTCAATATTTTAGAAAATGAGATTTTCACTTGGCATCACGAGAATGGTAAAGTGATTAATTCAATTACAAGGAGTTAAGTATTGTTACGCAATCTTGCTAGTAACAGCGAGCACTACATATCATAACTAACACATCAAGTTTTGACAATCTACCTCAACTACATCTCCAGGTTTCTTTTTGTTTTGTAGAACTGACAGTGCGTACACGGTTGGATCAGCCACACAATTCAGCAATCCATGGGAGCTCTCAAACAGCAGTGAATCCATCAGTGGTAGCTGAGGTAACTCTTCGGCTTTCTTATCAACACTGCTAACTGGTTGACTGTCATTGGTGTCGGTGATTTCAAAGACGGAGTCAGTTGTGCCATCCGTGCATACAAGTGTCTTCTTTTTAGGATCACAAAAATCGGAATCAGAATTATTATCATCTTCGGTTTGTCGGAGGCTTCCTCTCTGTGTGGTGCGTGAACTGCGTCTTGTCCCTCTGTTCTTGATTACCTGCCAATCACTCAATGAAAGAAACATGCTTTCTTCTCCGTCGTCATTTAGAATACCGCTAGCTACAGGTGGTTCAATTTGCAGAGCATCTTGGGAAGAAGTGATGTCTGTCTTCCCGTGGTCTCTGTTACTATTACAGATAGCAGAAACATCTTGAGGCTTCGGATGCTTGTCAGCAACATCTCCTTTGTCTGGTAAACTTGCTGGCCGCTCGTATGGTATCTTGACACCCCCACCTGAAGCACACCAGAACTGCAAGGCGAGAAAAGACTTGCGGATGTCGCAGTTGTTTTGTGCCACCAAGGACTTGAGATCTTCAGGACTGACAAACATGTTGTTTGTTAAGGCCACAAGCTGTAGATGGGCAGCAAGGAGATTTATTGAAGGAGGCTTGAGGTTAATTTGTTCATATCTTCCCTCACAGCTCACCTGTGATTCTGCAGACATAATAGAACAAACAAAATTATACCAGTTGCCCTAAGATGAGTTATGATGTAATTAACGGAACACCAATGGAAGAACTCTACAAGTTCATTGTCAGACTGTTTCACTCTACCCAGGTGACAGGTAATAAAACGTAAATATTCCTAGTACTCCTGATGTAATGAAACGAGCAATTGGCACGCTGTCAACAGCTCAACCAGGCAGATCATTCGTATCTTGGAAGGACAACATCAGTGTACATGCATATCAAACAATGATGTTATAAATATTAATTCAATGTTTTCCACTTTGAAAGACTCTCTACAATGTGCTGTAACGAGGATGAACTTTCAGACTACATATTCATGGTGCAAGGTCATATAACAAAGCAAATATTTCTTTGATTGATCATAGATCACATAAACTAATGTTAGGATGAGTAACTTTGATGTAACTCTGCATCTCAATGAGCAATATCTGCAGATCAACTATCAACAGCAAGCTAATGAAGATTAACAATGCTATCTAGTAAACAAAGATCTGTAAGTTGTTTTCCCAAAGCTGTGAACCTACACAAACATATTTATAACTGGCAGGGGATTGTGCTTTGGAGACAAAGATATGTATGGAACGCTGACTCGTTTACAATGTGGAAGCAGAACAAACACTATAAAAGGTGCCCCAGGGTGCAAAGAAAACTAATTTTCTGGTTTACCCTTTGGTCAAACTATAACTATGATGTACTAGCCCAAATGTCATTCTCACTAGCCCCCCAGAATTTAATCTCTTATCAGTACCTGGAAATTTCACAAACAATCAAAAGAATTGGCTAGCATGACTGTAAAATCCTCCAGCCCCAAGCCATCAGATACATGTAGGACTTTCTCTACACGCTGTGGCCACAACAGGGTCATTATGAGGTGCGATGGGCTTATCCTGAGTGCTGCAAACTTCTGATTAAGTAGCTATTATATGTGCACTGGCCTGGACATTGTGGTGTGCCCTATGGCAGGACACTTGACTGGGACTCTATAACTTCAAGGAAACTCCAAAATACATGTATTGGGGGTGAGGGTAACCTGTAGTACAAGAGCATCCCAATAGGGAGTAGCAGAAGCAATACGTTTGGTCATTCACTCTCAGGCTATGGAAACACATGGAGTGGAACATGTTGGCCTGAGTGCAGACTGTAGATAGGTAGACTGTAATGACAGAGTGTATACTTTTCAGAATAATTACAGGACGTACCAATCAAGTACACTGTATGAATGATTTGGATTGATGTAAGTCAAAATAGTGTGATTATTGTCCCTTGAATATACCAAACTGACCAATAAGGTGAGATTTCCAAGAAAAACTGGAGAGGTTTTCAATTGAGTGTCATAAAACCAAAGCCAAACCAATTACTTACCGATTAGACTACTCGGCCAATCTCAAACCATAGAAAAACCAAAACCAAAGTAATTGCCTGATTACTTTCGGAAATCAATTGAAAACCTAGGCTCAATTACAGCCGCTGATCAGGAAACGAGCCCAAACTCCTCCCCTGAACTTTTATCGGAAAGGAACAAAGACTGG